ACGGGTCAGTTTATAGTTAGTCCTAATATTATAATTCTAAGATGATATGGTAATGATGTTAATGGTACTAGATATGAACTAACTTAATCAGGCGCGCTGGCGAAAAAAGCGCAGCGGTTTTTTTGGTGTTCAATTATTTTCAAAGGGACGCGACGTCCAAACAGTTGAGTTTGGTAGGCTTTACTTAAGCTTAAATACATTACACAATTCCATCTATAGTAACTAGTAAACCACTTGAAGACCTGTTGTGTCTTTAGTCTATGAACAAGTCTTCATTGGGCGTCCCACAATCAGGTGATAAGTATCAATAATGCGGCAGGCGTTGCTGGCTAGTAATGACAGCCAATCTCACTGTTCTAGCATGGAAATACGTAAGAACAGATTACGCAAGGATCGAATTGTTGTGGGATGAAATCGTTAGAACTACGTTTAAAAAGTTGTGATCGAAGTTTTGCCTGTTCTAGAGCCGATGTCGACAAACGAACCGTAGTACGAACCGGTGAGGCACGCTATCATAACATGAGTTGCGTAGAAATCACTAGTAACTGGAGCAAAGTTGTGTAACGCAAGCTTTCCGAGCTACCTACCTAAAAAACGCTCCCACGGACTATCACTACTATGCAGGCAATCAACTAAGATTGTGAAAAGTAAATCAAACCGTAAAATTCTGATATAATTGTTTCGTTCTCATCGCACACTCAGAAGCTCTACAATATTTTCGAAAAAAAAAAAAAACAAAAAGCATTTTGGGGTTTGTGGGGTTTTTCCGCAGCTAGGTTAATCGTCTTATAGGTTTACATGTTGTGCTGTTTTTTAACGTATATAAAAGTTAACAATCATTGTCAGGTTTTTTCCTAGTTCCTTTATACGTCAGAGGTTCGTCCCAAGCCAATGGTAGTGTTCGGCAGGTCTGTTATTCGCACACGGGTAGAGAGTGGGCTTTGGACGATTAACCCACAAGATATACGAGTGACAGATGATTTTCCTATGCGAAAGTATACACCCATACACGGGTTATCTTATCATGGGAAAATGATTGGCTTTGCATTTACCTACTGTAGTATTAAATTTAAACGTCTCTTTAGGGAGGTCCGGCTGTCGTTTCAATTTCTAAGTACCCGGTATAAAGCATCTTTGAACTTCGCTTTTTTAAGTTTATGTTCGACGTACTCGAAATGAGCCTCGAAAGCTGCGATAATGCAACAAGCGATACGACACATCTTGACGAATTAATTCTAGCAAAGCATGCAATAAGGTCCCTTTACCGTGCTCCATTTTTTATCGTTTGTGTCTTATACATTTTTTATATTATGTCAAATTGGGCATATCGTATCAGATTTTATATTTTAAGACTAAATAATTTCCATAAAAAATTTTGATATTGCTGCAGGGAGATTCGTTGGATGTGTCTAAATGAATTCTTTCACGAATTTATATATGTACATTTTCTAAACGTTTTTTTTAATAAATCTGTATTAACAGGCACCTGTTGCAAGCAATGAGAGCAGGACGAACCCCTTTTACAATCTTTCCCGTTCGATATTGTGTTACCTGGTATACATAAAATTCCTGAAAATGATCCTATATTACAGACAAAACATAGTCGCAAACAGAGTATCGGACTTCAACCTGTTAGATGCTAATAAAGATGGAATAAAAACCACCCTATATTATTGTTCTCAAATCACTTTAAAACAGTACAACTCAGACATGCGTCTTATTGCAACTGTAGTAAATTAGGCCATTTTCACTTTATGAAATTTCAGAAATTTATAATGAAAATACGACGCAAGCAAATATAAACAGCATCCATCGCTTGCAAGCGTTTAAGTGTTCGATAACGGCGTTCAGGTCTAAGCTCGGATTATATACGGTACGGCTGTTTGTGAGCTGCGTTAATATGGAGGGTCGTTGTATCTCTTCGGTCTGTCCAGTTGGTCAGTTTCGACCCAGAATGCTGCGGCTGAAAACGAAGACGGCAGGTACCATTAGTGACCCTTAAGCCCCCTTTTGAAAGCTAGTACATATGTACATGCAATATTTCCACATGCAGTTACCGAATTATGCCACTGCTATTAGATGATATCGTTTCCATAAAACGTAACGCTAGTAAAATGTGTAACGGAAGTTTTTTATGGAACACGTCCTTTTAGCGAAGTTTCGTTTTAGCCAAGTGAAGTTATCGATAGAACATAGGTTTGCTGTCCATATGTATTCGGAGGAGTTCATATGTATAAGGGGCCACACAATGTTGTAGCATTGAAACATATAACGCGAAAGTATTGCTACACTGCCAGCTTCCTTACCCTTTTTCGGCAGTACGCGTCATTATAAATAATAAAATACCTTTTCATCTATGTTCTCTCACTAATTCACTTCAATTTAATACGTTGACAATCTAGCTACACAGATGTTGTTCAACACGTTTATGAAAGCTGTAAAGTAATGTGCGTACACATTATATTGTTTTGTTATAAACACGCTGTTTTCATAAAAATTTAGAAACACTAGAAAAACAATTAAAAACACAGAGTGTTTAATCAAGCATGAAAAAAATTAAACGTATACCGATTAGACACACGTTTAAATATGATATTTTTATATATTTTCATATATTGAATTTCTGGCGCCATATCTAAATTTGGTTTTGAACATGAAACTCGCAGCATATACTTTAATAGGCTAAGGCATTTTTGGTCGAGAAGGCCTGAACTTAGCTCCGTCGAAGTGTCATTTAGCCTATTTTTGGAGTGCCTATATTATAAATTTTCCCAGACTGAAGGCTTATGGAATACATATATTGTGAAACAATAAATATGCATTTCTGCAAAGAAAGTTCATTAAAAAGAAAGTGAGAAAGTAAAGGAGACGATAAATCCGGAGGTAAGAGGGATTTTCGGATAGGTGTCGAGAACTTACTATAGTAAACGAAATAAACGCTGAAGCGAAAGCTAGAATATTGAAAATTTAAAGCTATTTTAGGAGACTTTCTGGGTTAGTACACATTTCTAAACGTAATAACAAACAACCAATACACTTCAGGGACTGCATTTAAATTAAATGAGAAGAGGTTTGTTGGTTAAAGAGTGTATTATTAAGGTCAAGGTAAGCGAGGAGTGACTTAGCCTATTTTAGACTATTCCGGATTAAAAGAGTTCTTGTAAGGTTTTTTGGCAGCGATTCGTACTCTGTTCTATGTAGGTCATACTACGTACATAAATCGTCTGTCACGAAAATCTATCGAGGTTTAACGGGCTGTGGCGGGCTATCCAGTTTCTAATAGTTTAAAATAATAATTGAATGTCATTAAAACGTGGTTCGACAGACAGAAGCGAGGAAATTTTCGATAGAGGAAGGCTGTGATATGTGACAGCGGAAAGTGGCGCCGAGATGGCTATTTCCTTATCGTGTGGAAATCATTGTGGTTATCCGCGTTGTAGCAACGTCGCATCACATTAAATACAAAAAAAAAAACAACAATACAAATCGATATAGCACAGACTTATAATATTGTTTGGATTGTGAGCCTACGACAAACAGAACAGTAAGATCATGTCGGTTAGTTGAGGTAATAGCAGCACTCTAATTTATATAAGTAACCACTGACAAGTTCATACCGTCAGAATTTGCTATAGATAGATAGATTTTAGAGAGAAGGATCATTGTGTCTGTACACTGTGACTGCTATAAGGACTGGCATGGTTACCTGCATTTCATCACGATTTACGCATGATATACGAATAATACTGTGTATGCTGCGTGGGCTATACTGGTCGGCATATACCGATTTAGATAATTTAGGCACACTGTTTAGAGCCAGGCATTAAAGTTAGATAATGTATTATAACTCTTTATGTCATTCGATAGATGGAGACAAAAAAGGGAAAATTATCTTCTTACTGATAGCGTTCACGTTTTTCCTCGAGGCAACGTTTCCGTGATGTGTACGCGCATCAGGCACACGAACTAAAAAAAATCTATTTTCACTTCGCGTCGCTTGGCGTCACTGCAAGCCTACTCTTTGTCGGCATGGTTAATCTCTCACCTTTGATTGTCGTTATGTATGATACATCTTTATTTGAATACTAAAATGTAACGTACATATGGCGGAGATGGAAGACCCATGAGATGATGAGCAGACTGTTCGAGCAAAGGAGCTTTTACGGATGGAACTAACAATTAAATAGAAATCTTTTTGTAGGTAGATTACGGCGCTAACAATGTACCACATACAGCAAAAATGATCGATATCGGTGACAATATCACCCACGTAAGTCTCAAGAGCATAACCTTTTCATTGACTTTTGGCTGAAACTATTTTCACATCGTCATCCAATGGCGCTATGAAACGTTGAACTATCAGGCCAAACGTCTAAGTATTTCCCTTTTTCGGTAATTTCCGGTTTTTCATTTTTAACCAGTTGGCCTCGTCCACTGAAAGCAAATGTGTGGTCCAGGCGCTCCAATAACTTCCTCCAAACTCCCGTCCCGCCGCAAAGTTCAAGCAAGCCTTTTCTATTTTGTTGCCCACTTCTCTCATCCGACTTTCAGCCAGTCGTGAATGGAAGTGACAAAGATAGGCTAGAAACAACATGCTATGAGCGCTACGCTTTACTTTTATCGATTTTCATCTCGTCCTAACAGGAACAGCGCAGAGCAACGAGGCCAGCGGAGTCGCGGACGTTATCTCAGACTATTTTCTTTTCGCTTTCATGCTCGCTCTCATCGTTAGATGTCTTCGAAAGGCTTTTTTCTTCTACTTCTATGACTGCTCTGAGCAGCGCTACTGCCCGGTCGGCCGTCCCGGCTGTCAACCACCCCCTTCGAGCCGCCCATCCGTTGACGACGGCGTTGCAAACAAACATATTCCTCTTCTATGTTGCGTTATTTTAGCAGCTTTCTGTTACCTACCAGCGTTCCATCGTATCATACATTAGCTCCCAGATACTCTTTGTTGCACTCATCAACGTCGGCGCTGTTCGAGCTTACTTGGTTACTATGTGCCGATTGTTTCCTTGGTTGGTTCGCATTCCGTCTCTCTGTATATCCGTCTGTGGTGTTGTTATTGTCGTCAGCCGAACAATTGTGGAGCTACTGACGAGCGTTTGACGTGTTTATCCTGTTGTGTATGCGATTGCTATCGCCCCACGGCCGCCCCGTATTGCTTTCGGCGTAATCCTGCTGTCGATCCGACCCGTTGCTTCTGTTTTGGCAGCTCTCGTGTGGTGCTTGTTTCCTTCGGTCGCATGCAGAGTTTCTTTCAACGGCGCGACAAGGACACATACCGCTGTCACACTAGACTCGGACAATTAACGGTTACGAACGAGCGAAACTTATCCAGTGTAACTAATTATTCATTTTTGTGGACTAGATAGCTATAATATTAATACTGCTGCCAATATACGTGTATTTACTGTTGCTTTCATTGGATCGGCCATGTATTGTTTTGGTGCTAGTAAACCAGTGATCTCCAGTAGACGTTTCCAACTGTACGTTATTGTGCTCGGAGTTAGCATGCTCGCTATACAGTTAGAAGAAGTAAATGGTCAAACAAGTAAGTATTTCTCTATGTACTACAGCGTCAATGACGCCATGAGTAATAGCGTGGCAGACAGCACGTTTCAATCAGGATTACATCGGCTACCGGCACGCGCGCGCAACTAGAAAAATACGGAGATTACAGATTTTCAACGTACGTACATAGAATCTGTATTCCTCGCCCCTTCTCTTTCTTAGTTGGGAGGATACTTGTCATCTTTGTGACTGTTATTTGTAATCGCATTTAACAGACAGACCAAACCACAGGTTCTTAAGTCTGGATAAATGTGAAACCGATTTAAATCTACTTGCAGCTGACATTATGTACTCGTTACTGGTAGGCTTCAGTGCTACGATGTCGAAGTAAAAAATTTTAAGGCGAGAGTATAGGCTGCTTGAAAAACTGACTGTCAAAGCAAAAAATTTCTATTTTTCCGTCTTTGATCTTCGGCTCGAAATCTTCCAAGGCTGTACCTTTCGATACGGTTTGCCTATGGCACGACTGCGGCAGCGGTAGAAATTTTCGCTGCCAACAGCAAATTGGTAAAGTACAAACCTTGGAGAAGCTGAATACCATCGACTACTTGTGGCCGTAAAAATGATAAAAGTTACTGTTGTTAATTATTATTATATTACTAGAAAGAATTGTGATATAATCATATATTGAGTAACGACGGTAATAGAGCGACAAGCTCTACAGCACCTAGCATTGTTACTAGCAGAGGCTCCATAAACTGTCGTAATGGGACGGAATAGTTGAAGCTTTAGCAACCGGCGCTAGACTGTGGCTATGTCGTAGCCTGAGATCCACATGAAGAGAAATGACCTTCTTCACTAGTCGTTCGACTCCCAGCAACAGCGGCTTGTTGATCGAAGGTGCAATCATTAATTTATTAAGAGTGGCACGATTCGACTACCCAAGCCAAAAACGTGGCCGTTCTTAGGCAACTCAGGCCTTTTTCCTAAAATAATTTAGATTTTCCTTTTAGCGATGTTGCTATTTTTCTGAGTCGCCAAAGTCGGTCCTGTTTTTAGGTGGTACGTGGACAAGTATGTATTGGGCTCTACTTGCCCGCTGCGACGATCGGAGCCTACCTATTGCATCATGTCAGAATTGCCCATCGACAACAGATATTAAGAATACTCAATTTAAGTAACTATAATTGTATGCTCCAATGTTAACTTCATGTTCATTGCTCACTATTGCTCATTTTAGTCATTAGTAAGCAGGCAGTCAGCCATGACTGTTAGGTTTTCATTTTTAGTGCTGGCCATGGTTTACGCTTTGCAATGCCACATACCCTTAAGTAAGCTCAGCCCCATAAGCTCATAGTGTTTTGCTTCATACACTGTTCGATGACTAAACTCAAAATGACGAGAACATTGTAAAGGAAAAAAATCATCATTTCAATGCAGCTCATCTGCTGTATGACGTCACAGTATTTATAAAGTTTGAATTTGGCACCTGTCATAGTTTTCTCCAAGGCTCTTCGAATGGGATTGTCTGGCAAATATTTGACCAGGCAGTCGGCTCAATCTCAACATCTTAGCAATTTTTCATGTTTTTTAAAAAATATTTTCCACCTTTCTTGCCGTGTGGGAGCCTACGTTGTATCCACGTCCGTTGCTGACTTGCGTTCTGCTTCCTTTTAGCGTGGGCGACTCGGCTCAAGCTTCTTCGGGAATTATTAGAAGTGGATTAATTTAGAGCGGACCCTGCGATCTTGGGGGTTACGAAACCCAGTGTTGTCTTTTCAGAGAAGGCAGTGTCAAGCACTCTTGTAACTTGACGAAGAATGGCAAGATGCGTGTTGCAATATTAATTGTGTACAAATATTAAAGCTGTAGATAAACACCACTCAGTTTCTCTAGAACCAACGCAAAGAATCAAGTAGGATACGTTAAGCTTTCCATACACTTGGAAGTCGGATGGATTTCCTTCCAATAAGTACATCCATAGCGAGCGTTTCGGTTTTTCGACTTACGAACAATATGAAAACGATGGTAATAATGATGGCAAACAAGTAAAAATCACAGCAGCCTTTTATATAATGTAGGTTCTGTTGTTAGCTATTCGAAAAGAAGTCAGGTAGATGGTGTTTTAGAAGAAGCCGAATACGATGAATTTCAATTATATGGCGACACATTCCCGTACGAATGTGTTCACGCTTTAGTTTTTGTGTTTCAAAATACGACTATGTCCTAATCTAAAAAATTCTACAGTCAACTTAAATGCACTTCTGAGTTGCCCCATAACGCTAGCAGCTTGGGTTCGGTGATGAAAATAGCGAGTTATTGAGAATAATGAATCTAGGTTGGATGGTAAACTTTAACCAAAGTTTATTCTATGGAATCAAGCTCATTATGCAAAGCAAAGGAGCTGTACGAAATCGTTGGCTATTAATAACATACATGCAGATATGTAAAGCTGCCTGGCACCCTGGTCAGACATAATGAGTATGACGATATTAGACGTATTAAATGTAATTAAAGAAAAAAAGGCGTTGCTACCAATATTCGGGTATTGCTAACATGCCTCAATGGCGTTCCAGGAAGATGCGGTAGGCTTAAGTCGATAGCGAACGGCAGTCACACATATATCAATCGTAATGGGAAGAAACTCGCTAGGTTTTCATGTGATCCAGGATACGAGCTTGACGGAGGACGAGCTACGGTCGCCTGCAACGGGAGAAAGTGGATTGACCCAATACCCTTTTGCTATGGTATATTTTTTGTTTATATCATTGTGTGTCCTGTATGAGAAGTATTCATTAGTTAGTTATTCGACACAAGTAAAAAGCAGCTTTATGGTAACAAATTGTCGATCAATCAGCGCCGAAACGTCATTGTTTCATGTTGTGTACAACGCTTCGATTAAGGATCGGCAATATTCAATCCACTGAGCACAATTATGTCAAAAACGTCCTTCATTAAAAGTATCAACTCGATCTGTCAATGCCTATTTCCAGCAAAAACATGTGAGCCTTTAGCTTTACACCCAAACCTCATGTACGAATTGAAAACACCTGGCGGCTTACTTCAAGCACTTCGATGTTATCCGGGCTACACCTTCAAGGGTTCAACTACGATCTTCTGTGACGGTCACCAATGGAATGCGTCTTCGCCATTTTGCAGAGGTGCGTCACTGATTTTACAAGATATGATTTAGCCATGTACAATGAATGTACGTATCGAGAAAACGGTCGCTTGATGCAGCGATACCATATCTACAGAATCGTGCTCATTTTGGAAATGATATTGAAACAGGATGTTTAGGTTACAGATATCTAAAAAGGACAATCGCACCTAATTCCTTGTGGTAACAGAAATGGAACATTTTTTCCAGGTTCTGCAAAACTCATAAACACAGATGTTTCTCAAACAATACTAGAAACTGTTTTCCTACCTATAAAAAAATGGCGATAATGTTGATGATGATGATAGGTTTTGCATTAGATCTATTAGGGAGATTTTATTGGTTAACAATTGTGAGATAGATTCTAATGCTTCGTCAAGCACTTTCATTAGTGTTAAATGAGTGCGTAGAAGAAAAAGTCCTTAAAGCATGAGAACAGTATTTACTAACAGTATCGCTGTACACCTTTCAATCGACGGTGGACGGATGACAGCACGTTTCTACGACCTACCGTATACATGCACGTTCGAAAATAACGATTGTTACTGGGACCAGGATCCCCAAGCCACGTTTAGGTGGCTGAAGCACAGTGGAAGCACGCCGACCCCAGGTACTGGGCCGAACAAGGATCATACAGGAATTCCAAGTAAGAGCCTTCTGCGATTTGTCCTAGTAGAAGGTATTGACTGGTTTCTATAGCAACGGTTGAAAGTCAAGGATGCACACGTATTCAAACTAGCGTTATCTTGATCACTTATTAACTTCTAATCTTTTGTGTTAGCAGTCTAATTAGTTTAGATTTGCCAAGTTGCATCAGACTACAAGAATTTGAACATCCATAATTATTACAGTATGCGTGTGTAAGTTCAGGTAAACTTGAAACTACTTAAAACGTACTGAAAATTCGTTTTGTGTCTAACGTGTACATGTTTGAACTAGAGAATTCACCCATAAAAAAGCGTTCTCACTGTCAAGCTGCGCTTGACTTTGTACAAAACTGTTACCGCAGAATATTTTTCTACAAAGCTTCAATCTTTCGAAAGGTTATAGCTTTCGGAACAGCTTTTTTTTTAGCCTTTTCATGGGATGTCCGTATTCATATAGCTACTGATAGGTTCCTCCTAAATATTGCAATTTCCCTATTTGATAACGACCTTCTCAACCAGCGTCAATACTGATGGAGAATGCCAATGTGTTGCAATAATACCGCCTGGCACCTAGTTCTATCTGCCGGATAAAAATGTTTCGGTCACTCTTTTGACACGTTTCGATTGGTTGATGCTATATATATTAAGCCACTTGTTGCTAATCTGGAGCTCAGCATGAATATGATGTAAACAGCAACGGCAGTGCATAGATGTCCTTGATCTTATCTCGAAAACCGTTCAGAGACGGGTCGTCATATGACAGGTCTGCCATACGATACAGAACAGCAAAATGCCTTAGGAACATATAGAACACTCTTGTAGGCGAATTTTCATTCTTTCAGAATAAATAAGGAACGCCCAGTACTTACGTTACCATATTTTTTCCCATACACCTCTGCTTTCCGTTACCTCGCTATGTATGCATTTCTATCCTTTGTTGGTTTTTATTCGCAAGCAGATCAGTTCATAGTTGTCCTACGTTCACGGATTAAATTAATAATATTAGTAGAAGTTTTAATAGTAGTTGGTGTCTGGGATTCCTCATTTTATTTTGGTGCACTATCTTGATAGGTAATGTACTAATAGTGTCCATGGGAATCTGTGCTCTCCTGTGCCTCGCAAAACAATCAAGAGAAGTCTAGCGGAAAAGCATAGCAAAAGAGTTAAGTGTTCGACAGGTATGCAAAGTTTGTACCGGTAAGAAATCGTGGTCTATTGAAACGATGACGCCAGCTGAGCTCCAGCCACCGACGAGATGTCGACCTCTAGAAAGGTGCGTTCTGCAAGCCCATTTCAGTACGCAAAGACGACCGCGGGCCTAGTACCATCTCTGTTCAACATAAAGCCGAGACGTTGTTGCCCCCTCCAGCAACGTACGCTAATAAGCGCGCCCATCCCGCGGCCAGGAATTAGAGTTAGGAATTTACGATATGAGGGCCTTCCCCGATGGTCTACTTCGAGCTATTTTTCGTCGGTTCGAACCCTATAGCAGAGTGGCCCTCATCCCGGCGCCTCTGAGTCTTTTATTCTGACAAATGGCTGTACATCTTGGCCTAACTAAACCCACCCTTCAAACATCTCGATCTTCCTGCTTCGTCGTTAGAGGCCCGGCTTTTGTTCGGCTTCCCAATGAGCGTTTGAAGTGCGGTAACTGTGAAGTGGACCGTGGGCTAACCCTGACGGCCATGCCGTTATCTTGCCGTCCGTTGTATTCACGACAAGATAAGCGGGATGTGTTTATTTTCCCACTTACAGTTCAGTTGCCTTACACAAACTAAGATTTGTTTCGTTGCTCCTCTTGTTGCCTCTTCGCGTCGTTTGTCGTGTTTGCAGTCTGCCGTCTCATCCTTTTTTCAGTCCCGTTTTAAACTTTCCCGCTTTGTCCGCTCGACTCTGACTTTTGCTTTTTTCCTGCTTGCCTATATTTCGTATGCGCGCTATTCATGCCGATGAAATGGGCAGCCGACAGCGACTGAAGTACCTCCTGCAATGCGCGCAATAAATGTAGTCTCGATGCGGCATCGGTTGCGGTATGCGAGCGTGTGTATGCTCTCATACTGCCATTTTGACAAGGCTGCGGAAAAAAGTTACGAAGCCAAAGCAACTAATATATTGAATAAATTATGTTAGAAAATCGAAAGAACTTGCCTCCATTGGCGCTAGTGGTCAGCCAGAGGGCGTGCACCGCCGCTTGTTCGGTTGACCTTCTAATTTGCGCGTTGGCACGCCCGCCCTGCCCAAACGTAAATCGTTGAAAAAAGAAGGCGAGAAGGTGACAACGAGATGGTGGTTTGCAGTAGTATATATTGTACGGAATAGCTCGGTGCGAACGCTGTTCGTAGAGGCTACGGATAAATTGATTGCTGCCGCTGGCGCTGGAGTCGTTTCGTCGACGATTGACCACCTAATTTGGTGAAACAATTTGCCTTTTTCTACTCAGCTCTGTTAACGAGGTGTTGCTCACTATTTCGAATGCGTCCATGGGTATATCAGGCCTATACGCATACAAAATTCTAATTATAATAATGTCGTTTAATTGAAACTTTACATAATAGTTTTGCTACTCTCGGAGTTATCAGCTTGGTCCTGCTGTGCAAAAATATAGCTTAGCATACATCTTACTTGCATTCATCTTTCAGCTTTAAATATTATTTGATGATGATGGTTCGGTATACGTATTCTAGAACATGTGCGCTTATCGAATATTTTTAAAATAAATCGTCCCAGCACCCTTTTCTAATGCGTTCCAATGCGGACTATTGAACAACGTTGCGAGCTACAACGTCTCACGTATTTCCCATAGTTAAACATTGTTATTTTTCCTTGATGCACTTAGATTTTCTAATATATATATATATATATATATATATATATGGGAATAAACATATAATATAACTCGGTTTTTCAAACTGCGGACACAGATATATTTAGCCATTGGTGACAATTAACAGAGCATCATCAACGTTATCCACCACACTTAGGCAGTTTGGGAGTCAATAGACAGTCTTTACATGGATTTTGTGGTAGGTAGATTCGAGCCATCGTTCCAGTCAGCTCCACTGTACGTAGTAAAATCACCAGGTTGAGCTAGAAAAATTCTACGGGAGTTTCGCTTTTGTCTAGCGGGACTTGCTAATTATTATGGCGATGCCATAGAAGACGGCTGGGTTGCATTTTGTAATACTTTTTCCCAGCGCTTTTCAAAATTACGTGTTGATTATATCATTAGCTTAGTTATTCCCTGTAGTGACCTTGCATCAATGTGCTTTATACTTAAAGGTCATTGCTCTGTCATTATGAAGCTTTGTGGAGGACAAACGCAAATCCTAAGACGCTTCTAACTGACAAACCAAGAATAAGCTTTAAGTTAAGTAAAAATTTGTGAGTCTCGCATGTACGACCATCAGCTAGTAACGAAGTATTTAAGAAGAGTTTAAAAACTCTATCGAACATGTAGGCTATAGCGAATGGCCTTTGCATAAGCTATATCTTTATGTTCTGTTCATGAAATATCGTCAATTTAACAAGTCGTAATGTGTTGCTCTGTTTTAAAATGAAGAATGAATCCACTCTAGTAGGTAGATAAAGGATCGTAGGATTTCTATGAAAAACCAAACATTCTCGGAAAGCACGACTGTAGAAGTTAGCCTTTCGTTATCCAACAATAGCTTCGATAATAAACCGTTTCCGAATGAGTATGTCGTGTTTTGCTCGGGGTAGGCAGTTTGAATACCGTTAAATACGTCCGCATAATTCTTCTTTATTGGCCTGAACTATACCCAAACGTTACTGACCTATTTAAGGCCAAGGCATGTCCGATGATGTGTTCCTCTTGACGTAACACGATGCTCTACATAAGTGTCAAGTAGTAAAATTCCTAGTATTTAGTGCGAAAAGGAATCATCATCATAGCCGATTTCCGTTGCTCGCTGCAGCGGTGACAATGATGGAATAGTGGCTTCTTCGCCGAACAGACTATCGAAGGATTTGGCGGCAAAGCGAACATTAGCCAGTGATGGGATTAGATCAATCGAAAACTGTTTCAACTCACTAACAATTTATCGATTAATTTATCTAAGATTTGTAGTGCTTTGCGAGATCCTCTTGTTCGTAAAAGGGTACCCGAATCAATATTTTGTGACACGATTGGAGGCACTGCTCCTGGCGAGCAGCGACTCGGGGCAAATTTAGTTGGTACGCCTCCTACGGTACATTAAGTGAGAGCTTGATGAAATTAAATGAGACTAAATAAAAAAAAAAAAAAAAAAGCAGGGAGACTAAGTGTACTCCGAGATGTGGAAGCACTGGCGAGACTTCGACGACGTCTGGTAGCAGCCTTCATCGCATGGTGGGCTGATTAAGTCCTTGCAGAGACAGGAAGAATAGCATCTAAACAACATGCAGAGCCACAGAAAATCAAAAACGCAAGCCATTTGCTAAGCCACATAACAATGTTGAATAGAATGCGTATGACATTGGAGGTGAGAAGTCTAGGGAATTGTGCGTGAGTAGTAAACTTAAGTGAAAATGGGCAAAATAAGTTCGCATTTCAGTTGTCAATGTTTAATTTCCCAAAGTCAAACATTAAGAAACATAAGTTATCACTTGTGGCACTACCCTTATAATTTTACATATGAAAGTGTTAAAAATGGAAAAAAATTCTCCTGATTTTATTTTTTCATAAAAGCGACCTCTTCTTACTTTTACTAGCAAAGCTATCTCAATTGGGATAACAATTAGTTTCAAAAAAAACCTTCTATATGAAGAACAAAGTTGTTCTAAACAGCCGCTGCGAACGTGCAGGAAAGATCGTTCAACTCTAGATCTACCACGTAAGGCTTGAACCTGCAATGCATAGTCACTAGGCACATCCTCCTGATTACTGTAAATATTCTGATAGTTCTTTTGATATTCGTGCAAATTTTAAAGCAGGCCCACTCAAGTCTTCACCGAGGATCACCCTGTACCTACTAGAACGAAGATCTTTGAAAAGTTAGGT